AACCAATCAAATCGCGAGCAGGCTAAAGACCCACTACCCCCCCAGAGTACGCCAGCTCGCGGCGAGCTCGCTTGCTATTAGGGTTCAGATAATCCGACTTTCTGGGCTTGCAAGTATGAGAAACGAGGACGGCCGAAATCGGAGTTCTGGGAATGTGCTGCAGGAGACTAGTTGGGAGGAAGATATTGATGAGTCGAATTCAAGTCTAAATTCCGGCAAGCTCTAAGAGCGTATAGTAAATCCAAATCTCGAAGTAACTAAATTCCTCGGAGAGCGAACATTTGAAACCAAATTCGAAACGCGCGCCATCCCTTCTAGGCTTCTGTTAAGAATCGTATAGATCGTCGGATGTCCGTTCATAAAAGAAAGTTGAGATCTGTGGGCCACTTTAGTGTTCGGTGTGCCGTTAAGCCTTTAAATCGTATAGCAGACCTGGTGCTGTCTTTTTAAGCCTACACGAAAGCAAAAAGTAGAACAACTTAAATGAGCGGTCAGATGTGGTTACGTCTCTTTTGCCCTGCGCTCAGACTAGTAGTAAGGCCATTTGGTGACCTCTAAGGGATTCGGGTCTACGACAGAAACGGCAAGTCTTTGGCCCAATGTGTGATTGGCTTTTGCAAAGGATCCGATATGGTAGTTAAAATAGAACGAGGAAAATTGTAATTACTACCTAAAATAAAGTATTACTTCCCAGTTGCTTTATTTAATGGGATTTTTTGGGCCACCAGCATGCCTTCGCACGTACTTTACGCGTGCCTACATGAAGACATTTCAATTGGCTCTTCTACCATTGGAGACTTTGCCACTACTCCCACACCTTTGCAAAACTTGTTGATTTATTGCCTTTTGACTGTTTAGACTTTTAACACCTCCCTCATCTACGCCACTTTGTCGGCTCCCATATCTAACGAACCCTGGGATAAGTGTCTCGGGGTCTACTCCCAAATAACACGCTTCCCGGCTCTTATCGAGGAGTGGTCGGTAAGCCTATTTCGATACTTCACTTCCCTGTTCTACCCTTTCTTTGAGTGCGATGATTCAGTCTGGTTTAGTAACTTGAGACTGAAATGCTGATGTGTGGAATCTCTGGAAGAGCAAGAAATCCGAAGCATCACATTTTATTTCCTAATTCTTCGTTTTCTTTTTGCAGAAGGCGGTCAGGCTGCTCACACGTCAGCTGGGAATCATCATGTTCGGCGTTAAGTTGACCGACCTTCCTAATGAGAGCAAATTAAAGCGTGGCCGACGTTCCTTTGGAGGTTGGTTATGCGTTCCTTTTCGGTACCCCTTCCTAAGGCTTACGTCCTTTTGTGCCCTTCATTGGCATTTGTTTAGGATGTAAGCTATCGGTTTGTGGCGATGCTTTATGCGAATATCCAAAAACTCCACGTTCAGTTTTTTTGGCAAAACTAGAG